CTGCAGGTGTAAGGTTCTATCTCCATCTGCAGCACTTATGACCACACTTGGTCTTTATTATAAATTTCTTTATGAACCCGATACAGTACTGTTAATGGATTAAATGTTTTGTGGCAACAATTTAGCTACAGTTCTGCCACAGGAATGATTAACACCATGCAAGCCAACTAATATTAAAGTTCAATATTTATTAAAAGCAGAAGTTTTTATCATATGGGATGTTATTTTAGAAGAATGGGTGGTGGTGGTTATGTTATGGTTGAGTAACATGGTACAAGAGGGCAAGTAGTTGCTGAGCAAGTATGCCAATTTCAATTTCTAGCAAACTGGCAGATACAGCAGAAGTGCACACTTTCTGCATTCTAATGGCAGTAAAGTTCCTACTAGAGACTTACTGGCCACCATTCACTAATGACTAGGGGAAGTTAGCTCAGAGCATCTTTGATGGCAACTAAAATGTTGCCCCCCTTCAAAAGTTTAAGCTTGTCTACAGCATTTCTTTTTTTTAATTAACTATGTAAGGGGGAGATTCTGAATAGCAAGTGCCAATAGGCACTGCCACTGGCTTATGGCAAAAGATTCTGTAGCAATAGAACTATAAGCCACACTTTCTCCCCCCCCCTTTCCTCCCAACTGTTCAGTGTCAAAAGGGAGGGGGGGTGTCCATTTACTGTACCACTTACATTTTAGTGTGGGCTTCATCCACTATTCTCATGTTAGCTGGAACATTTGTGCCAGCTGCTGGTTTGAAAGGGAGGCATACCATGTGCCAATTCAGGAAGCTTTCCACGTTCCTCACTGCATGTCAGCTCAGGACCTCACTACCATGTTGGGAGGCAGTTGAAGACTAACCAATCAACACCCCAGGCTGGAGAGCAGTGCCAGCTCGGGGAGAATTTACCACCTGCAAAAAAATTTAATACTCTTAACAATCTACACCATCTATCTCATCTTTACCTAGCCCCCAAACCTTACATTTGTCAGCATTAAACTGCATCTGGTAGTCTTAACCATTTCAAAACTATATAGGGCATCGGTATTTTTTATTTGCCAATTCTGCAACTATTGCAGTCTAAAACAATCTTGCGAATAACCGAGGTCCAAGGAGAGCTTTTAGGCACACTTACAACACTTCTCCCAACTTAACCCCATTTATACTAATTTCCTTTGGTATAGCCATGACCTAATCAACTTCAGTCAGCATTCCCAATGATCCGAGCCCCTATCAATTTTGCGCCACTATCAAAATCTCTGCTGAAGTCAAGGTACACAAAATCACAAACCTTATCACTATTTCCTCAACTATGCAACCTAATCCATGAACATTTAGTAATAAAACTATGCGATTCATGTATCTAGTCATGTTTCTCAAAAAGAGTAGAGAAATGGCACTTGCAATGCGAGATATTAGCAACTTTCCTCACAATAGACTAAGCTAATTGGTCACTAAAGCGTTAAAGTTAACTCAAACTTTTCCTTTAAAACTTGCTATATTAGGAACTTTCCCACGACCGCCCTTTACCCGACAAATAGGGTATAAACGGTATATTAAATGCAGTAAAACTACGGTAAATTCAATATGATAAACTTTCATTCTTTAAGCATGGGCTGCATAGTAAGTGAACTAAACTAAATGTTAAGCACCCCGGCAAACCACTTCGTTCTATTCAATTTCTTTATTTAATCACTTTGTCCGGCTACAATTTTTAGATTAGATTAAAGGAACACCCTCCCTGGTAACGGCTGAACTAGTTAACCAAATACAAATATTTAGGTAAAATACTTTCATAAAACCCGTCTACTTCCCCCACCAGTAGACTTGTTCAGCTAAAGGCATAACGTAATGTTCCACTTTAGTAAATAAAGACTTAAAAAAACACTACCCCAACTGTGTAATTACCGGTTACCTGACATTCTACGCTTAAAATAACCCATCTATTCCCCATAATTGTTCGATATAACTTACCTCTCACCCGCTGGTCGAGTACACAGCAGTATATATCCTCCTCCATCACTCACCGCGTGGATACTATTTCACTCTGGCCGCAAATTGCCTCAAATCACCTACGTTGTCCATAAACATATATAGAAGAGCAACTGACCGTAACACCCGTATAGCGATATCACATAACGTGGGAACATTAGTAGTACTGCTGTCAAAACATAGATGGCGCCAGGACAAACGGTAATTCCTATGGACTCGCCTAGTTATGCGTAGGGAATTGAGCTTCAGCTGTTTGGTCCCGCCCCTCAGCTGTATTCACTTAGTTGTACTCACCTAATTTGTGCTTGCAGGGGTTGAGCTTTGGTTCTTTGGTCCCGACTCTCAACCGTCAATCAACAGGTGTACAGGTTCCTGAGCCTATTGGGCTCTATCACATCTACATTTGAAACTGTGTATGGAGTCAGCCTCCACCACATCACTGCTTAATACATTCCATTTGTTAACTACTCTGACACTGAAAAAATTCTTTCTAATATCTCTGTGGCTCATTTGGGTACTAAGTTCCCCTTGTTCGTGTTCCACCCGTGTTAAAGAGCTGTCTTTGTAACTATCAAAATGCATATATCTTTGCTTTCACTTCAGTTATATTTATGACAAGGGATTTAAAATTTGCCTATATTTCTGCTTCTCTGGTGACATTAAAAACTTTCGTTTATTACAGTATCTACATAAAATTAACATTTATCTTCATTAGGTTGTAGTTCTCATCAATAGGGAGAGCGTCGGTAAAAAAAAAAAATTTGTTTAAATATAAATATCTTTCCTCTCTCAATAATATGCCCGAAACGCTATGCGTACTAGTGGCTTTAGGTATTGTATGTACTAGCTCTATCTATAAATCCAATATTATGTATGTAAATCGACTATTTATGTACTTTCCTGAATAAAATGAACTTTACTTTACTAATATCTAATCTCTGTGACTAAAACGTAAGAACGACTTTATCTATGCCTTTTTGATAACATATACAATTATAAGCTTTATTAGTGAATCTCTATTAATTAAACAATATATCAGAGAGTGTGTAAGGTTCGGTGTTCCATGTGCGAAGAGACATGGGAGATTTTACATCTTACAGTAAATGTTTTAAGTAGCGAACGCATACTAACGAATAACGATTAGTATAGACCAACACTATTGTTCTATGAAGTCGATTTAACTTCCAGACATGTATTTTTCAATAAGTCTTAAATATTTTCTGGCTAGTTATGTTAGATATTATTAGAAATACGTATTCTACTTGTTAATATAATAAACTAAATTTGCGATCATTTAAGGAGAGAAGTGCGACGACTGGATCACTGTGTACAGTAGGTTGATATGCCAACAAACACTTTCCAGACAACAATATATCTTGGACAAGTCGCTCCACAACATTGACACCTGGACCGTTGACTTCCTATGAGGCCACATATTTACTTATTTCATAATGGAAGTATATTATTTTATAGTAAATATATGTTTTCTCGTGTTCTGCATTAAGCACCAACATTATAGTGAATAAATATACCATATTTCTTCATTATTTAAGTAATGCTAGGAGTCTTTGAGTAGCTTTGGGTCATTAGGTGAACAGAATCTCCAATAGATGGGGCGAGAGTCGCGCTATCTCTCGCCCGAGCGAGAGTCGAAACTTATTTTAGAATTGATATATCTTTGTCCTCCAACAAGATATATTTCCTTTGGTGCACTCACAATAACGAGCATATCTCTGTCTTTCTGAAGGCATATAATATTTTAGGCTTTATAAGCGTATCTTTGTTAATTACACACTATATTGGCAAGTGCGTAGGCTTCTGCATTCCATGACCGACAAGCTACTGAATGCCACTATAAAAACGTATGTATCTTCACTTGAGCTTTATATATGTCTATGTTAAAGTATTTAAAATGAAGCTTATATTTCTATCTTTCTTGAGACATATAAAACATATGTGTTTATTAATGAATTTACGTGAAATAAGCATTGTTCTGAGAGAGAGTTGCTCTGTCGATCAGTCTGTGCGGGGTCGGAGCTCGGCGATTATTAAAGCACATGTATCTTCATTAGAACTTTATATATATCTATGGTAAAGTATTTAAAATGAAGCTTATATTTCTATCTTTCTCAACACATATAAAAAATATTTGCGTTTATTCACGAATTTACGTGAAATAAGCATTGTTCTGAGAGAGAGTTACTCCGTTGCTCGATCTGTGCGGGATCGGAGCTCGCCGATTAGAAAAATACACGTATCTTCGCTTTAAATACAAATTTGCCCATGGTAAGGCATTTAAAATGAAGATTATGTTTCTATCTTTCTTGAGACGTATAAAAATCTTACGTTTATTAACGATTCTGCGTGAAATAAGCATTGTTCTGAGATGAATATTGCGGATTTCCGGCTCTACGACCGATGAAAAATGCAACTTTTAAACAACTACAAATATCTTTAGTTTTACTTTAAATTTTGTCTTGAAAGAGTTTTCATATATAGATCCAGTTTCTGCCGTTCTTCTGACATAAAAAGACCTTTGGTTTAATAAGTTATTAAGATGTTTTCAACAATATTACTAGGGTGTTCACCGATTCTAACATGGGCGATCCTTTTGGAAACGCAACACATGGGTTGACCTGATTGATATATGGGTCAGATTCCATTAGAGTTGAAGTTCAGAGAAACCTGAAGGAGAGTGGGTTTAAAACTCCCCAACGAGATGCACGAGCTCAAAAGACATCCATGAAGAGGTCCAGGCACCACAGCCACTGCTGTCTTGGAACAAGGGATGTTGTCCTTGTTCTGGAGGTGCTGATTGGACTACTCCATTTTAAAGCAAGCACAGGACCACAAGAATACACAAGGGTAGGCACCACTGCAATTAATCGAGTGAATTGTCAAGAGGAAAGCCCATTGAGTGAAGTAAAGTTACAAATACTGAAGTAAAATAAAGTCAAAAGATTGTTTAGTATTAAATATTTACCATGGAAATTGTAAAGGTAAGAAAAACAATTACTTAAGCTATGACTTTTTTCAGTTTGAATACAAAGCAGCACAATTATTGAGAATAATGAGGCAGATTTGATGAAAACAGGAAATGATGTTTGCCATTACATGGAAAAAGTTAAGGGTGTTTTAATTTTGCTGTGTTTCAACTGCTGCTCGACTTTTTTATTTTGGCATTATTCAGGTATCTTATTCGATAATATATTTTTGCTAGGCCTAGATTTAAATTTAAATAAAATAAAATGGACTTAATCCAGAAAAACACATCACTTGTTATCATTAGCAATGGTTCTTGGCTTAGAATTGCAAACTGATTTGTAGTAATATAATTCTTTAATGATTCAGATCTAATAGGATCTACAAAATACTATAGATTAAAATAAGTATTTGTAGATACTCTATATGGGTGCTGGATAATAATGCATTGCTCTTGAAAGTATGAAGATCATTTATACTCTGAGCTTAGTAATGAATTGCCATACAACAACCATGAGAGTAACCTCTCTAAATGTTTTAAGAATTCACTAGTTCCATTACTAATTAGTTCATTATAAAATACTAAGTTTAAGTTATGGTGAATGAAGCATAGTCACACTGCAGTTTACTCTTACAAATCTAAATTACTAGTATTATGATATTACTGTTAAACAGATTGACAGAAATTCAACAAATATCAGGTTTACCAACATTTGAAATTTAGTAGTAAATATGTGCTAGGCCTTAAGCCTATTTTCAAACAGACTGGAAGTCTTCCATTTTTCAGAGAGAGCTAATTAAGGCAAAATGTTGATGGGGCATGAATAAGATGGCAACACAGTTCTTACCTTATTTTAAAGTGACATTCTGTTTCAATGCAGCAGTTACATAACATTTTGCTTATGCAAATGAAGAGCAGCAAAACGTGCATATGCACCTACAAGAGAACATTCTTGTTCATTTTTTTTTTTTTTTTTTTTTTTTAAACATTTGCCAACATGCAAGATTTATGTTTGACGTCGTCAAGGAGCATACATGTACCAGTAGTGATGATTACGACAACCTATTTTCTGAATATTGGATCACGCCACCAGTACAGTATCTGGTGGCACACATACAATGATGCACGTAACACATCCAGGGCAAGTTTCCAAACTTGAAGTTAATATTTGAAACCAATACTTAATAATACTAATACCAATTTATATTCATTCATGTTTATAGCTTGGGGAAAAAATCCCTTTGCCTGTATGGGTCGATAATATCACCGATTTTCATCACCTTTAGAATTGAATTTTAAGAAAATTTTAAGGCATTTTAAAATCCTTGAGCTAATTATGGATTACATATTAACTTCATGCCAATGGCATGAGTATTACATTATTAGCATAGCAGCATGCATACTGATAATATCAGGAACTTGTGTCAATAAATACTAAAAGTTATGATTGTTAAACAGATGCACAAATAAAAGCAAGTGTAACATTGAAGCACTGCTTATATACACATAAACCTCAAAATACTTAACCAATAAGATAATGGGCTACAACAATAATTGTCACTAATATATATTTATCTTTAATTAAAACAAATCAATAGAGGGTGAACCTTTAAACAATAACTGCATTCTGTTCAGGTTATGCTAAGTACTGTACTGTTTTGCATGAATATATTATAAGAAAATCTTGCTAGTTCAACCATATATCAGTTCTTTGTAACTAATGGTATAGCAGATATACTGCAAATCATGCATTATACATGAAATAAATATTGTATTGTTATAATACAGTAACAATATTGGTAACATTTTATCATATCTGACAATACCAAAAAAATCAATCATCTCATTGTGTAATATGTTCATTGAGTGATCTTTTTATCATCTTGATTGATATTTTCATATTTTAAATGTCCTCTGACCATGACAAGTATGATGCGACTCAGCAAGGCACATAATGTTCTAAGCTACAATGGACGTTATGCATTCATACCTGCACGTCTGAATACAGATCTCTAAAGATGCTTTCCAGAAACACTTGCTCTGCATATCAAAATAAAAACAAACACTTTTTTATCAATCACAATCTCGTTGTTCCTTTTAAGTATCAAGCCTCCCTCTCGAGATATGCACATGTCAGCATACCCGGAGGCACAATGCTAGAATTAGGGGGATGCATTTTTAGATCACCAAAAATCAACATACTAACAAAAATCTTGGGTGAAAATAATATTTAAAAAATATGATTTATCTCTGATGGAGATTTCTTGAATGATGGAGTTGCCCTACGTGTTGCACAATGCTTTTGAAGAGGTAAAAGAATAGGCAAAAGAAGGTAATGATGCATAGGTTGCAGATATTGGCAAGTCATCCGAGTCACTAGCTACTATAGATTGTTAATATTTTGGTCCTTTAATTAATGCAATGAAACCTTCAAAACATATCTGAAGCAAAACTAAAGCTACCACTTATACCACTTTGTCATGCTCAGCTAGCAAAATTTACTGAGGAAAATTGTAAAGTCAACCTGTCACACGCAAAGACCCAACTGCCAAGAGATTTTACCATTATAATTTTATCCCACACTCCAATTTCTAAACATGCGCAGTCAGTATTGACATTTCTCCCTTTTCGGAGCACTCAATTATCTTTACCTTCATTTTTAGGTAATGGGTCTCCTCTCCCTTGGCACTAGTGCATCACCATAACTCTTCTTATCAGTCATTATAAATATTTTCCTTGATAAACAGCTGAAACAGTCCACAATACTATACAGACCCAATGGATTTACTCTGAACAAAAGAATACGACAGACTGGGTTGAAAAAACCGAACTCTTGCATTTGAAGGAGAGCATGAACCTTCCCAACCAAAATACAGTACTAGAAGTGAGGGCCAACAAAAATCAAACTTTATGGAAAAAGTCACAGACCCAAGGGGTGACAGAAAAGCGTGACAAAATATAAGCCAAAATCCCAATCAAAGGATCAAGAAGACTAAGGGGAAAGAGCAGGCTAGAGGAGAAAAAACACACAAGACAATTTGTAAAATGACACTGATGATGTGTCAATGCCGAATCCCAACAAAACAAGAGCACTCAAGACCCCAGCTTAAAACATTACTGCTGAGTGTCAACCAAAATTTTTGGAAATCTAGGATTTGCAGAAGGAAGACAGTAAAGTCAGCCAAACCAACATGCACATATGATCAGAATCAAGCAAAAGGTGAACTTAGGAACAAACAGGAGTCCAGTGACCCGCAACAACTCACTGCCCCCGTCCTGCCTAACAAGGCAAGGGAAGAACAAAAAGAAGGAACAAAAGCACATAAGCCAAGACCACACTACTGTGCGGTGCTGATGGATCAAGCACCAATTGGAACCGGGAACCTTAACAACCAAGGGTGCACCAGGCAATTGACTGAGGTGGCTCACTGACTGATCCATGAACTCATAGTACCGGCACCTTGAGGTGGGCAGTTGGAACTCGAGGGTGGATCTAACTGAGTGGATCGTTTGTCAAGTTATTGACTTGCCTTGCTACCTTGTCACCTTACTTTTCTGGTGATTATTATTGAAGTGCGAGGCCAAAACCTGGCCCCACCCATTTACAGAAGCAGAAAGAGCAGGGGGATCTGTGATTACCCCTCACCATGACAGCAGCCACCCATATAATGTTTTCAGAGGGTTTCAGGCAAAAAATGGATTAGCACACAAACCTTTATATTTGCCTACAAATAAGTGAATGCAACAACTTATGTACAAACCTAAATACACACAAATCTCCTAAAACCTCACTGTTCAGAACCAAGGCCATAATGATTTTTGGATCACTTATGGGTGACAAATGGTGGTGTCTAGGTTTTGCAAAGCAAGGGCAGAGTGGTTCCAATGCGAATTAGCCTGGCATGTCATGCATTTTATGCAGATACATAAATACACAGGGACTTTGATCAGCTAGTAGTGTTGTTTCTAGATTATTTGTGTCATGTTTTTTATCAAGACCAAAATGTCTAATTTTGGAAAACCATCTGTACTGTACGGTACTGTACTAAAAGAATAATGTGAACCATATGAGATGTGTGTAAAATTAATCTTTACCATACCTTGTTTCTTGGAAGCCTGCATACCCGGCAAGTTAAAAGGACAGCCCTTACTCTCTCTCTCTCTATTATATTTACACATGGTCTACTATTGCCCTAGATGCCATAATGTGCTGCAGAAAATCTTATCAAGGAATAATATATTTCCTTCATAACTAGTGTGATAAAACTGGGCGTAAGCAATGCTGCAAAATACCAGTACAGTAATTAAAAAGTTTCTTTGCTTTTACTTTGATAACGTAACACACAAGTCAATTACAGAGCATATTAGAATGTTACGTACACACACATATCCATCCATCCATCCATACATACATAAACATGTACTGTACAGGTATATACAATACTGTTGTTATAGTTCACAAAGATTGCTAATGTTCTGGTGACCATTACACGTTCATATTTAATAGCTTTTTAAAGCTGTCAAAAAGGAAATCAAAGTTTGTGTTTCAATAGAAATAAAACATGTTAATTGATCCTATATTATCACAGCCCGTCCTCTCGAGCATTCGCAAAAGTCACTAAAAGTCGGCAATAATTACACACAAAAATTATTAAACAAGAATGTACAGCACTTAAGACAGGACAACTTGTAATAAAAATATCAGTATTTCTTTATATACAAATAAAAAAAAGACACATGGGTTTTACAAATATTATGTAATGAGATCTAAGCATCACTCGGTCACAAACATGCTGAACTTAAAAATACTAATTTCTTACTGGTAAATACATCATAATTATACACTGGCAACTTTTAAACCTTAAAATAAATTCTGAAGTTGAAATGATAAATAAAACTTTGTTACAAAAGGGAAAACGAGGGGGGGGGGAGGGTAATGAAAGACCGATTGCTGTCGTGAATAAGGATTTACTTAACAGGTCACAGATGAGTGCAAATAAACAATGCAACCATTTGGACATAAAACACCACCAGAACCACTAGCAATACCCTGTCTCACTTCTTCTTAAGACCACCAGTGTTGAATTTGAAGAATATTATATCACCGTCCTCTACAATATAGTTGCGACCTCTTTGGTGGTATTTCCCAACAGCCTGAAACCAAAAATACAAAATATAGTAAGTCACTTTTAAAGGTTATTTGGAGTGTGCTTAACTGTGCATTATACTATGGGTAAGACAATTCTAACTAAAAAAAAAAAAACCCACACAAAATGGGGTTCGACTGTATATTGTAAAAATATAAAATTATCCCTCATCTTCTATGCAAATAATGTTCTGAAATATTCTAAAGCATACAGTACCAACTATAACTATCCAAGAAATTCTTGTATTAGAAAAACTAAGTGAGAATGGGAACTGTTAGCAGTTCCCTGTGTATGTGTCCTAGGAGGAGGATACCCAGACACTTTACAAACAATGGCCAAGTGGCACAAGTAAAGGAGGGTACCTGTTAAAACACATTAAAAACCAGAGACCTCCCATCAAACCAGGACCTGGGCATAGTAAACGGTCTCCCACTTTACCCTGAGAAAACAAAAGATTATCTACTAGCTAAAATGAAATAGGACTGCATACCACAACCAAGAGACAGCAGAGGATCTTAATTAAAAAAAGCTAGGATCCATTATAGATGCACTGTCCTGACCTCAGAGCAAAAACATTAGCAAGTGGGAGAACCCACTCCCAAAACCTAGAGTGGGTTCTGCGAGTTCTCCTACTTCCCAAGCCTGGCCCTGGGGCCTGGTTTGACTACTTGTGATAGCTTGATTCAACAGACTGTTGCTTGGAGCAGCCTGCAAATTCTTATATCCACTACAACCTGGTTGGTCTAACACTTCCTCTAGGAACGTGTCTAATTTTTCTTGAAGAAATCCACTTTTGTTCCGGCAATATTTCTTATGCTGGCTGAGAGGCTGCTTGATACCTGCTTGATATCTACCAGGCTACTGAATAGCCATGGACCTCTGAGGTTCAAACAGTGTTCTCCAATTGTGCTCATGGCACCTCTACTCTTCACTGGCACTATTCTGCATTGTTCCCTCCAGTACATTGTAATTTTGTTTATTTGTATTATTTGTATCATTGTATATGATTACCAGTATCATGATTACCAGTATCATTGTATATTTGTTTATTTATAGTGTAAATTTGAGACCTGGCCTTCCAGTATTTCCCATGCATATATTATGTAATACCTCTCTCTCATTTCCCTTCTAGAGATGAGAGAGGGACATTTTGTAAGCTTTGAAATGGCCCCAACAATTCAGGAGCATTATCTCATCTATGCATGCCTAAATGCATCTATGCATGCCTAAATGCATCTATGCATGTGTTCCCTAAACTTCTTCTGTTTCAGCAGTCTCTCCTGCTTTGAAAGGAAAAATGAATATCAAGCAGTACTCAAGGCAGGACAGCACAGGTGATTTGAATAGTATGAACATTGAAATGGGATCCCTGGATATGAAGGCTTTCATAATCCATCCTATAATTTTCCTGGTTGATGCAATATTTGCTTGGTTATGCTCATTGAACGTTAGGTTGTCAAACATCATCATTCCCAGACCCATTACCTCTTTTTTCCTACCTTGAGGATATCTGATTGTGTCTTGTACCTTGCATTTCATTTATGTTTTTTAATTTGTCCATACCTAAGTAGTACCAGGAATTTATAACTGTTAGAAATCCTCTTTGCTTCATAGGAACTAAACCACCACATCAAACGAACCTTTGGGTGGAAAGTTCAGGCACTTTCACCCTTGGAATGCATATAGGCATTCCAGGGTGGAATGCCTATATGATTAGCAAATACTGAACCCCATCCACTATGAATGAGAGAGGATGTGAGCAGTCATGGACAAGACACAAAAACACTTTATGCTACTCTCAGCACACATCTGGGAACAAGTCAAAGGTTCCAACTTACACATGAGCTGGAACTGAGCATTAACACACTACCACTCTCACTTAGCAAGTAAGTAATTATCAAAAGAAGGCACTAAGTCAGGGAGGCTATGTAGCACCATCAAAAGTGCGGGATATTCAAAAGGGGCTAAATATCACTAAGAATGCCAATACGAGAACAAAAGTGCATAAGGCAAACAACATCAAAGGCATCTGATTTACCAAGGATATTATCGAGGGACAGGTGACCGCCAGGGACAGTTGGGAAGCAAGGCGCATACGCACATCCTGGAAGTCTGGACATTCAACAAGGATATGCACAACCATAAGAGAGACAATGCAATTCAAACAATAAGGAGCAGGGCAGCCCTCCATTAGGTGCCCGTGATGGGCACTTAATGGAGCGCTGCCAATACATAACCTCGCCAGAGCCATTTCCCACCGCCAGTTATGGTGGTAGGAGGAAGGCCATGGGGGTAACATTACCCTTAAGAGCATGCAGCTTGTTACAAGTATCAGAAGACCAACGACCCTGCTAACAGGCAAGGATTGGGGAATGAATAACTGGGAAGAAGTCAGAATAAGGAATACCTTTACAGGCGATGGGACAGGTGCGGACAGCTTCCATGGCGGCAGTGTCCGCACGCTCATTTAAGAACATACCAATATGGCTGGGAACCCAGCAAAACTTGAATGTCTTAAATCTGCTGGAGATAAGAAACAGCCCAATACTGAATTTTGATGACCACAGGATGGACAGGATTAAAGAATTCCAGAGCCATGAGGGCACTTCGAGAGTCAACTACAACAACAAAGGAAGAATTATGGCGAAAAAGCAGTTGACGAGGAGCAAAACTGCATTAAGTTCAGCTGTGAAGATGCTAGTCTCTGGAGGCAGGCAACACATATAGGTGCAGTCAGAAAACACAATGGAGTAGCCTACACTGTCAGCAGACTTGGACCCATTTGTGAAGACAGAGATGGAGCAGGGGTGTGAAGAAAAGTGAACAAGGAAAAGGCATTTCAGAACTGCAGGAGAGGTAAAGCCTTAGTCATGCAGGTCAAGGTTGAACAAACCTTAGGAAGAGGGACCCTCCATGGGGGTCATGGATGGAATGACATGAGGAGAAACATTGGCAACACGAACCGAGAGAGAACCTAGCAAGAGAGAGAGACAACCATATAGAAAGGGGAAGGTGATGAAAGCGAACCGAGCCCACAGGAGGGGTAACAGTCAAAGCGAGAGTGAGGGTGTGTGTATCTTCAGGTTATCTTGAGATGATTTCGAGGCTTAGCATCCCAGCTGCTCGATCCTCGACTAGGCCTCCTTTTTGCTAAACCCTCCCTGGGAAGCAACCCATAGCAGCTGTCTAACTCCCAGGTACCTATTTACTGCTAGGTAACAGGGGCATCAGGGTGAAAGAAACATTTTGCCCATTTGTCTCTGCCTTCACCGGGGATTGAATCCAGAACCTCAGGACTACAAATCTGAAGCTCTGTTCACCCAGCTGTTAGGCACCCAGAAAGGACGCCCAGTGCTGTAACGACCAAGCAAAGTAGTGAAAATAGTAGCGATCACGACGATCCTGAAAAAACAGGATGCCGGTCTCAACATACAGGCTCTGGGTAAGGCACAAACGAAAGACACCAGAGCTAAGACGAAGCTCAATATGGTGACGAGCATCAAGACTATAAAGGGTGGAGGGAGAGGCAGATGAGTAAGCAGGACATCCATAATAGAGTTTAGACAGCATGAGAGAGGAATGTAAAGAGAGGAATGTGTGCCAATCGGCTCCCCAGGAAGTATTGGACAAGACCTTAATTAAGTTAAGGGCATTAGAGCATTCAACTCGGAGGTAGGAGATATAGGGTGACCAGGACAAGCAAGTGCCAAATATTAACCCCAGAAGTTCAGCAGAATCTTTATATGAAAGAGGATTGCCATAAAGCAACAGAAGGGTTGAAGGATGACCTGCTACCGAGTAATAGTCATAGCATAAGTCTCAACCAAAGAGAACTAGAAGCAATGATTGGTGGCCCAGGACGACACGGCATCAATTGCAAGTTGAAGCTGCTGTTGGAGGAAAGGCGAGTCATCACCTTGACAGTAAAGGGTAAGATCATCAACATAAAGAGCAGAGAAAATGTCAGAGGGTAGGGAGGAATGAAGACCATTGAGGGCAACCAGGAAAAAGAGTAGTGCTCAGAACACTACTTTGGGGCACACCTTTGTATTGCCGAAAAGAGGCAGAGAGAGTGGAACAAAAGCCGCACTCGAAAGGAATGACAAGAGACACGAAGCTCTGGAGGAAGAGAGAGAGAGATTACCACGAAGACCAAAAGAATGGGGATAGAATAAAATATAGAATCGCCAGGTGGCATCATACGCCTTTTCCAAGTCAAAAAGGACAGCAACAACAGAGGTCTTCTCAGCAAAGGCAGTATGAATATAGACCTCCAAGTTCACAATGACATCAGTCGTGCTGTAACACTTGCGAAAGCCAAATTGAGAAGGTCGAAAAGTGAAAGCTAACGGTCGAAAAGTGTGAACCCAGTTCGGTTGCGAATGACACCGGATCCGCCACAATAAAACCACAGAGGTGAAGGACTGGCGAGACATGTGAAACAAACTTACCTGCTATCTTGCGGATTTTCTTCCAGATCAGGGGCAGAGGAGTGTCAGACGTAATGGTAAAAACGAAAGATCTCCAGCCCTCACGTTTAGTCGTACGGATGGTCCTATGGGCCACCGCACTTTTCCTCCAAAACAAAACAAAAGAAACGGGCATCCTATGGTGACGATATTTCTTCCAGGCTACACGCTTGCAGCGGACAGATCAAGCACAGTCTGCATTCCACCAGGGTCCGCACTTCCGTGCGCCCCTGGAGGTAGAGAGAGGAACAGAGCAGAGGTCAACATAAAAAAAACAGTGTTATGAAAGAGGAGGAGGGCTCGAAGGAGAGGCAGATCAGAGAGGTCAGAAAGAGTAGCACGCAAAGTAAAGAGGTTCCAGTCAGCCCTGGCAAACTGCCACCTAGGGAAAGAGAGGGGAGGGCAAAAAGAGAAGAAGGTGACAAGGATGGGGAAATGGTTACTGTTATGTAAGTCATCAAGAACCCGCCAGGTGAAGTCCAAATGAAGAGAAGACGAGCAGAGAGAAAGATCAAGAGGGGAAAGGGTGCAAGTTCGGGAGTCAACATGAGTTGGTTCAACAGAATTCAGAAGCAACAGAGAACAAGAGAGGATAGAAGGTTCAAGAAGGCAGACCTGGGTGTTTATCAGAACATCACCCCAGAGGTTAAAATCAGTTAAAATCACCCAAAAGGAGCACTGGTTCTGATAAGGAGTCCAACAGGTGTTTAATATCAGGAAGAGAAAGTGGGACATTTGGGGGGGAGATAAATGGAACAGACTGTATACCATTTACTGTACTCACAAAGATACAAGCTGCAGAACACTGAAAAACTGAAAAAGTAGGGAGATGAAGGGAATATTAAGACGGATCAAAAGAACAGTAAAGGCATGGGTCCCAGCAAGATTTGGAGAAGAGAGAAAGGAAAAAACCATGGAAGCGACCAGGACAAGTGCCAATCATCAGCTCTTGAAGACAAACACAAAGTGGGGAAAACTGAACAATAAGAAGTTGGAGTTCATGGAAGTTGGCATCTCACTTAGCAAACAATACCACAAAATACTACCCCAGACAGAGTTGGCCTGAAAGAAATTTACCTAAAGGTGGAATGAAACCCTTGAGATGATAAAGACGGTACTCCACCAGAGTTATCAACAATCTGTCCAAATGAAACTGAACACTTAGCTCTCAATGCAGCAATTGTGGTTCTGTAGACACAAGAGGCAACTCTTATGGATGTCTCACCAGTATACATTCAGAGTGGTGGGAAGAAGAGCTGTTTGATGCTCAAGTGAGCTTGCTGCAAAAGTTTTGTCTTCATAGATTACTACTCACCAAAATATTTCTTGGAAGGTTGAGTTACTATGATTCTTTTTCATTGCTATCATTGGCAGCTTGCCTCAGTAGTGGGCTGATCTTTGATTCCCATGTGCTCTCTGCCCTATAAGGGGATCAAAGTTGAACCTGCATGGGCCCTGGATCCTGATGGGTCAGATCTCGTGTAACTAACCTGCCCTATCTCAGCCAATGTGTAAGGGGTCAATGAGAGGAGTCACTGATGGGGGTGCAGAGGTCAGTACTACAAGGTACTCCCAACCTGATCAGGAGGTCCTCACCATGAGGACCTCAAAGGGGAGGTCCTCCCCTTCCAAACAGTAACACCTCTCCTCCTCCCCCTCCTCACCATCTTCCATACGCCAACAGCAGTCATCAGCAAGGGTAAGTAATAACTTGAACATAGTTTTGTTTTGTAGATTTAGATGAATTAGGTATAAAATTTAGTTTGAAGTGAGGTTTCTGGGTAATCAGGAACGGATTAATTCATTTCCCATTATTTCTTATGGGGAAATTAGCTTCGGATTATGAGTTTTCGGAATACGAGCTGTCTCCAGGAACGGATTAAACTCTTAAACTGAGGTACCACTGTGTGTGTATGTATGTATGTGTATGTATGTATGTGTATGTGTGTATGTGTATGTGTATATATATATATATATATATAAACAATCTTTGGACAACACCCACCAGTGGGACTCGAACCCAGAAAGCACAACTACCTTCCAGTAGCTGGCATAACTAGTATGCTTTAACCCACTACGCCATCAGACCTTACAAAAGAAGTAGATAGTTCGAGATATATATATCTCAAACATCTCTACCTCCCGAAGGCACCAGATGAGTGAGGGGTCAGTCTGCAATTTTCATCAAGCCACTGTCAATGTGAGAGAACTCGTGTCCAGCTTATAAGCCTATACTTGCATAAACCACAAGTGAAGATAAACAATCTTTGGACAACACCCACCAGTGGGACTCGAACCCAGAAAGCACAACTACCTTCCAGTAGCTGGCATAACTAGTATGCTTTAACCCACTACGCCATCAGACCTTACAAAAGAAGTAGATAGTTCGAGATATATATATCTCAAACATCTCTACCTCCCGAAGGCACCAGATGAGTGAGGGGTCAGTCTGCAATTTTCATCAAGCCACTGTCAATGTGAGAGAACTCATGTCCAGCTTATAAGCCTATACTTGCATAAACCACAAGTGAAGATAAACAATCTTTGGACAACACCCACCAGTGGGACTCGAACCCAGAAAGCACAACTACCTTCCAGTAGCTGGCATAACTAGTATGCTTTAACCCACTACGCCATCAGACCTTACAAAGAAGTAGATAGTTCGAGATATATATATCTCAAACATCTCTACCTCCCGAAGGCACCAGATGAGTGAGGGGTCAGTCTGCAATTTTCATCAAGCCACTGTCAATGTGAGAGAACTCGTGTCCAGCTTATAAGCCTATACTTGCATAAACCACAAGTGAAGATAAACAATCTTTGGACAACACCCACCAGTGGGACTCGAACCCAGAAAGCACAACTACCTTCCAGTAGCTGGCATAACTAGTATGCTTTAACCCACTACGCCATCAGA